AAWKSCACCAAAAAAAAGTGGGTTTTCAGTGTCAAATCGTTATATCCTCTGTCTGAATAAATTCCTCTCCTTTAGACCTCCCAACGGTAATCATTGATTAATTGCGAGAAGTAGGAATCATAGTAAGGAGAGTCTTAGGGTAATTCGGTAGGACTGCGTTGCTTATCCCTATTGCGCAAAGAATAATTAAGCCACGCGGAGAGAATTAAATACGCATTAAATTATAATAGCAGCTTTTGTTATGCCCAAACCTGTAACAAAGGTAAATACCGAGGTTCTCGTAGGTGGCTCCCCTACGATGAATTTGGACTGAATTGGAAGCATCAAGGCCCAGTAGAAGAGTGAAATGATAACATGGCGGTCCAATTTTTAAAGATCCTTGTGGCAAGATCGGGAAATTTGATGTTAAGTTAATAAAATATTATTTTAGGGGTATTTGGGCTTCTTATGTCCCGTAACAATTTTTAAGGTTTTCAAATTACGAGCACTTCCCGCGCATCTCCCGAAATGAACAATCAGAACAAAAAGCATTAAGGGCGAACTCAAGATCGGTGACCCAACTTCTTCCTTATTTTTTTTTTCGATCGACTTATTTATGACTGACGACTGTGGCGAGTTTAATAAAATCTTTATCATACGTCTTCTTCTACGATTTTACCAAACGAGATGTATAACATTAACTCAACCAATCAATGGTATACCCTGCTTTTGTCTTCTCATAATTTCTAAAACACTCAAAGGGGATTTTATTCCTTTGAAGGATTTTTCGGCAGACATCGATTTGCTCCTTATGGAACGCTTGCTAGGCGTCTACCTTCTCCCCGGCAGCCCTTCCTCTCCCTCTGATTTTGTCTCCCTTTTAAGATGTTTAACTCAAACCAAGGAAATAATATGAAATATGTTTGAATATAGTGATATGCACTTTTGCCTTGCCCTAAAACTGCTTTGTTGTTTTTGGCTCATGGGCCTTTGTATCGAGCGGATTGGTGAAAACGACTCCAGATCCCTCAAAAATTGGAGGAAAGCTTCTAAAGGCAAAAGCCTTCTCCGTAAAATTTTCACACTTTATTTCCAAAACATCTGCAGTTTTTTTCGTGTCCAAAAGTTTCTCATATTTTCCTTAAGTCGAATAATGCGAGACAGTGCCACAACTTCTCTATGAATTATTCGAGTAAGTCAGTCGCCACCTTGAGCTTTTAACGAAATGCAAAAGAGACTTTAAAATAGGCATTTGTGTATCATTGTTTTGTAGTTATTGCATATCGTTCTCAAAATTGTGGATGCAAGGCCACATCTCGATCCCGTTAAACGTTAGATGAAGGCGCTTTGAGAGCAGAGTGGTATGCAAAAAAAAAAAAAAGACTTCAGAGCTCTTCGATACTTTATTTTTACAAAAAAATTTAAATATGATATACTGCTTGACTGATATGATAAATATGAGAAACCAATGTAACATTGTCATCAGTATAGGAGTTACCGTGCAAACCTTTCAATGAAATTGAACGCCAAAAGAAAAAGAAATCAATTATGGGTTGTTTTTTTTTTACATTGACTTTCCCATAATTTCTTTTCATAAAATCTCATAAAATTACCATATGGGTTACATCTTTGCGAAAAAATAGACCAATTATCTCACATAGTGAGTATTGAGTAATTCTTCGATCGGCCGAAACTTGAATGACTTAAGTATCTGAGATGCTAATCGAAGGTGAATTATAATTAGATGAAACTATTCTAACCTGGCCTAAACCAAGCGCCCATTTCCTGATAATTTTTTTTATAAAAGCTATAAAAGACTATCTCCACAATTTTATAGTCCCTTTTCAAAACCAAGGGAACTTGGGAATTCTAGACTGCTATGCGAGGGCACACCTACTTCTATCTTGAATTTGTGCAACAGTTTTTAAATTCTCTCTATCTCTATCGTTCTAAGATGGTCTATTTAGACATATACATATATACTGCACATGATAACATTTTAGCAATTACTAAGAGGCTTAGAAGATTACTACAGCTATTCCGGTCATTAGAAATCATAAAATCTCTGGTTTGTTGACTATTACTCCCACCTTGATGAAAAAGTGGAGTTATTAACTTAGGAATATAAAAAACATGGGAGATAAATGTAACAATTTGTTAATTAATATCTTCCACACATCAAATGCATCACCATTATTCAAAGAAAAGAGTTAATGAGATTCCCACTTATTTTTATTTTATTCATAGAAGTCTAGGCTAGTAAAAATGTAATTCAACTGTTTCTTTAACGGCATCTCCTCCACTCGTCGTTCTTTCAAGGGTGTACGTGGCGCGTTTAGCATTTGCAAGGACGTTCGGATCTGCAAAGGGAAATAAAACAATTATTCATCATTTAGTCTCTTTCCCTTGCAGGGTAGGTTGTTTTTCTCTTCTTTAGAGAGCGTTCTGAAATATCTAAATCATAACTTAACCTGAGTTATGATTACAGATTCTGTTCCATACTGGTATTTTTATCGGCTTTCACCTACAATTATTGACCAGAAAATTTTGCTCTCGCCTTAATTCCACGAGCAAGTCCGCATTCGCTTTTCTAAGTTCGTCGCACGAGTATTTTTTTCGAGACAATACCCGTCTTATTTTGGGTCTCAACATCTTCAAGTCCATGACTCACCCTACGTATTGTACTAAGAAATTTCACGTAAAGGACGCTAATGGCTGCCATAATTATAAGCTCAACTATAGCATTGTCGGCAAAAGTCCAAATTTGATATGAAGCACTCGCAACAGCAAACGAGTTGATAATACTTGCCATAAGTCTCAGATTTTCGTTTTCATACGTACCCATACTGTGCAGGATCCCCTTATTTCCTAAATGAAGAACACAGATGATTTCAAGGAACTCAATGTTTTCTACGTTTTTGATAAAATACTTGTTTAGATTTTATGAATAAAAGTATTTTGACCGGTGGTTGAGATAACAAGTGACGAACTCCTCTCTGCTGGTTAATTCAACCTTAAGTAGTTCCATTACAAAGAAAACAGACGTTGAATAGGGAAATAAAAAGATCAACTCAAAATTTGCTTCACTCTTGGCTTGGTGAATAACAGCACCTATATGGAAGGATATGATATCGGACCTCATCGGAACTTTATCTTTCAAATGTAAATCTGCAAAGATCAATTTGTCCGATTGTTGTTGGCATTTCCTAGAATCTAAGACTTAAGGCGCATAGTACAAGGTCATTTTGAAAATAGAAACAAATCAGTTATTTGTAGTAGTAAAGCCTGCTTACGAGCCAAGTGGCCCATTGGGCCGGCGCTTAACTTCCGGGTTTCCGTGGCAAGAAGCGACTAGGAGCATTTCTACTCCCCCCTGCATGGAATGCTAGTCCATCACAGCATTAAATTGGCCGGTGCCCTTTTAATACTCCTGGGTGAAGAGAAGCACTGTGAGAGTAAACTGTGTTGCCTAAGAACACAACACAATGTCCCCGGCCAGGGCTCGAGTGCAGTAACTGTCAGGCCACCGCGCCTCCATGTTTTCATTCCACTACAACGTTAATATTTACCTTTTCAAAAGTATGCATTCAACTGATAATGTAGTATTCAACTACAGTATCAAGTTTTCCTTCAAGGGCGAAAGTGAGTAATATTTTATTCAAAGGAGTGAAACAGGATCCGAAATACGCCGAGCAGTTGCCGATTGGAAATAAACTAATTAAATTTATATTGCCGATACTTACGACTGATCTGTAGACTTTTCTCATTTCCACTCAATGGTTTTTGTTCCATTTCTGGTTATGAATAAAATAATTAAAATATATTAGTTTTATTACTTATTTCCTTGCATTCCTCATCAAAGTTAGCCCAGAGCTAATTCACTTTGGAAAAATACTCGCATTGTTTTAATCATAAAAGTCCTATAGATTGTTAACTAAAGATACAAACAAAAGAACATTTCGGAAGAGCATAAGTCTAAAATCTGGTAAATGATTAACTCTTCGTTCGTTTGTAAATTTTTTCGTTTGTTGTATTTTTTTGTTTTTTGTTTTCGTTAGTTGAAAGTGAAATTTCGGACCAAGCGAGCCGGTAGGGACAGTACTGAACATAACAAAGGCTTATAAACATGCCGAGTCCCGTAACTGACATTGAATGTGGGTAGAGAAGTAAATCTTCCAAGAGAAATCGAAATGGACAATCCGAGTTTTAAAGAATTCACGGTCGATTGAATTGTAATCTAACATACGGTGATAAAAATTACACACAGTTAACAATCGGATAGTATATATATATATATTGTCGTTTTCAAAAACAAAGCAAACAAAAAAAAAATTATGAAGGATATAACCAAACTGGCATAACTGTCAAATTTCATACAAATCACGATGGTGTAAGACAGAGTGCGATCATGTCTAGGTCTATCTCGGCTAGCTAGCTCATCTTGGTGATCTCAGGTCATCTCAAAGAAGCGACCTTAGAAATAAAATCATACGCCCTTCGAGTGAACAACTTAAAAGCTTTCTCCTTCCGATCCGTTGAGCGGAAGGCCACATGCATCAGTCACTGCAGCCAAGTTTTAAGACGAGCCATCTTCATGTTTCTGTGAATTCGGCTGTCGTTCATTCATAAAGTATAAGCCTTGAGCAGTTTGTTTTCTAACAGTCGTGTGGAAAAACTTGCGTGTTTTTATGAGCCACATTTTGACCAGGTTTTACTGAACAATTCATTGAAAATTAAGACTAAAATACTTCAGGCAAGTGTTGAATTCGACTTGCTGAACCACGTCTCCCTACACTTCTTTCGTGTTGTAGCCGCTTCCTAAGTGCTTTACCACAGAAAAGAGGACAGCCAAGGCTTCTCTGTTTGTTAAATCAAAGGGGATGGAAGAAGGTCAGAAGATGTTGTAGACGTAACTAATTAAATCCATATCTTCAATACATACTGCAGATCTGTACACCTTCTTCAGTTCCAGTTAATGGTTTAGTTTCAGCTTCATCTTCTAGACATGCATAGAGGAATTCGATAGATTAGACTTATTAACTTTAGGCCGGCGACAATTTACCTACAAAACATATCTCGCTTTATTCCATTTGATAAAGTCATGGTCAACGTCATGGTTTTGTTTGTGATAAGCAGGATGCAAATTCTTTATTAATTGAGGGTAGCACACCATAGTATGACAAAGTCTGATAAACTATTGACCCTTTTACAAACAAATAAACATGCTAAAATCAAATCAAGCATTACAAAGGACTAAAAATATGTTACAAACTATGAAATAATTGTAGATAAACAGAAATAGACTCAGTACAAATTAAAGATAGTTTTAACGAGGTCAATTTTCTCTCGTTACTTAATACCAGTACTTATTTCTCAAAAATCATTTGAAAAAAAAAAGTATTTTGACTGACGAAACTGTTCTTCCTGCTAAAATTGTAAATATGTGGAGATCAATCTGCTGCTTATTGATGATATAGCTTGTAATACTTGATGCACGTTAATCCTTTCAAAAAAATTTACTTCTTTATCTTTTTCTTCTCTAGATCTCACTTTCTTGGCATTTAAATGCCTAATTTTCTTTGGAGGTGGAAGTAGAGATAGATTTTATGTAAAGGGTGAAGCATGGTTAGAATATGTTGTCGACCTGACTAGTTAACTATAAATCTTCGACACATACCATTCAGCTGATCTCTTTCTCCATTTCCACGTGATGATGGTTTATCTTTCAAAGCGGTCCGAAGCAGGATAATTTGATGAAAAAAAGATTAGTACTTCTTTCTTAGTATTTTTCG